CATTTTCTCAATGTAAAACCTTACACGTTTTGAGGAAGCTGAGATTTTACAGTTATGTCAACACATATATTGTTGTCCAGGAGCAGGAGAAGCAGAGGAGTATTGAGAAGAAAAAAGAGGAAGTGGAAAAGAAGGGTTTAGAGAGGAAGAAAGAAGAGGTGGATGAGGTGCAGAAACTCCAGGTGAAGCTGAAACAAGAGCAACAACGTTGGGACAAAGAGTGTCTGGCCAGAGAGAAACAACAGGTTAGCTTCATGCTCGTGTTCTTTAAAATAGATTTTATGTTTCTCAGTCACTTGTCTTTACAGTCTCTCTGTCTTTGTTTCATAATAGTTTGGTGGGGCACAAAAAAGCTTGGTTTAGAGTTATGAGTCTACGCCAATGACTGCAGAAAACAGTCATTGGTCTACGCCCATTTCTTTGATTTTTACCAGGTTATAAATAGATCACATTTAATTAAAGCAAGCAAAAGCAAACTGCAGTGCTAGATGAGACACTAGACTCTTGAAAAATAAAATACAATTTAAATTTTCTATGATTACTTCAAATTTCAGTAACAAAAACAGGAAACATGTCATATACGAGCAAAATGTGTGACCTGTGAATTTCTTTTTCAAGATAAGATATTTTTAAACATGTGTTGTAAACTCATTTTCATACCTGCATGTGCATCTGCCATTTTCTGTTATCTTATTCAATTTCCTGCGCTGCTCTTGCCATGGTTATATTTTACTAAGTGCTAATATAGAACAGGTCAAAAAGGCTGTTACCTGCTTTCAAAACCTCAACTTAAAACCCAAGTTGTGGTTAAAGTGCTTAAGTTTCAAATATAGTATTAATCTTTAGACCTAAGCAATGTATGAGGTCTGTTACAACAGTAGAATAATAAGCCTTGCATGCTTACAGAGTGAACAGGAGACTTTGCTGGAGCAGCGGGAGCAGCAGTGTCTTCTGGAAGCTGAGCGGCTGCGCTGTGAGCGTGAGGAGCTGGAGGCCCAGCTGCTGGAGTACCAGCAAAATCTGGACAGACTGAGGGAGGGTCAGAGGAGTGTAGAGAGGGAGAAGGAGAAGATCGAAGCGCAACAGAGACTGCTCCAGAGCTGGAGACATAGCCGCCAGAGCAGCCTGCCTGTTATGATTCCACTGGGTGAATACAAGGTAATTCAGGAAGCGGGAGATGATACGGGAAAGTGCATTAATGCAGGGGATAAAAGTACAGAAAGATTCAAGTAACAAAATAGATAAATACATAAATAAATGAAAACAAAACTAGGAACGATAGAAAAAATAAAGCCAGAAGAATTTGTCACCTCTCCTTTTATTTCATGTCATTTTGATGTCCCAGGGGTCTACCCACAGCCGCTCAGGGAGCCTGGATGGCAACAGTTCAGTGTACAAGAATGAGGCAGCTTTGCTCACCTCACTCCAACAGAACCACCTCCACCAGCCCAGCAACAACAACCAGCACCAGCATCCTCTCTCCATGCCAAGAAAAAACCACGAAGACCCCCTGCACAGTTCCACCTATTCGACCAACCTCGGCCTCAGTGCCAGCCTCTACAACAGCCTCAACACCCTGCTGAGCCAGACACACAGCAAACAACCGCTGGATGGCATGACATACCCGAGCTACAGTAACAGTCATGACTGTCCTCAGGCCCTGAATGACTCCATCCACCCCTTTGGCAGCAGGATCACTACACATTCACAGGAGACCAACACTTGTAAGACTACTTACTATATATAAAGCATGGTAGAAAGTGCATGCCTTTTTAAATCAGTATTGTACATATTGTGCTTTTTCCAGCCCTCATAAACAACATCTTTGTCTTGACAGTTGAAAGTGATTCTTTTGACTTCATACAGTGGGTGTCTGGACCCACACAGGGACGTGGACACACACTGGACCCTATTTTGTCTTATGTTTTCTTTGTTTCAAACTGGATGATCTGTGGCACTGTATGTGGCACTGTATTTTCAGATCACAAGCTTGTCTCATTTGACATTGCCTTGCTCTGTAGCTCTATTAAACCTCATGTTCCTGCGAGGCGCTGTGATATTATTAACCCATCCACTGCTGTGCATTTC